ACTTTAAGCAATGGTGTGTTTTGCCTTTGTGTGAATGATCTCAAATATTGAATATATGCATTACCTGGTTTGGGTCTTGCTGTCTTTTCTAGAGCAGTGGTGGACTTTCTGGCAGACTTGTTGGATCTTTCAGGAGAGCAATGAGCAGATGGAGTGCAGGAGGCAGCAATTACAGGCCCGTCATATGCAGGGGCAGCACCATCGGTTTTAGAAGGCATGTTAAAATGATTAGCCTCGGGGGCAGTTGTTATGCTAGGGGCAGTGTCTGAGGCAGTGATTTTTGGATTGGTGTCTGAACATATTAAGACATCAGGGACAAAGGTAGTGGTCCTCAGAATTAAAGGAGTGGGAGCTGTATGTTTAGCATCAGATATGTCAGGGATAGCGGTGATGACTTTCTTTGTTAGTTTTGGGGATATTGCTATATTAGTGCCACAGCTGGAGGTGTATTTGGCTTTGCTTGAGCTAGAAAGAGCAGAATTTGTAGTTTTAGACAGGTCTGCTTTACAGTGATGGTTAGTAAACATGGGACTGAATGTAATATTAGCAGATCTAGAGGCGACTGCATTAAAAAGTGTTGCTGACTTATTAGTGGAAACAGGTGTGGTTGTCACAGCTGGAGCGTGCTTAGCTGGGCTCGAAGCAGTGGTGACTGGGAGAGAGTCTGTAAGTGGTATATTAAAACTGAGGCTCTGCTTATTTTTCTGAGAGGCTGGTCCTAGGTCTGCAGGAGCTGAAAAAGATAGACTTTTCCTGGGCTGCTGTCTTCTTCCTCTGCTCACTGGAGCCTTAAAATGAAGAGAAACTAGAATAACACTTGTTTTTTACATGTTTTCAACACTGACCGGCATTTGTGTAATGCCAAATGTTCCAAAAAGCTTCAGTGTACCTGAAAACTGCTCATTAGAGTCTTCTGCAGTTGCTCATGTAGGCTGATGATCTTCTCAGGACTACTCAGTCTCCTGCTCGCACCGACACGTGTGCTGGAGGAGGGAGGAGTCAGACTCAGTGAGGATCCAGCCAAACTGGTCAGATCTGGGGAAGACTTCCCTTTCATGTCTGGATGATGAAATCCAAATTTCTCAGGTCCAGTGGCAGAGTGAGACAGCTGTGGTGGGATTAAGAAACAGCAGATCGTAGGGTTTCTCTCATTTTAATTTACAATTTCAAAAAGAACTTTTAAAAAGGTCCAGTGTGTAGGATTTAGTGGAATCTAGTGGTGTAGTTGCAGATTGAAAAATACTCCCTTCACCGGCCACCAAACGTGCAAATGGCCCTAATCTAGAGCCAGTTTTTGGTTTGTCCATTTTGGGCTACTTATATTCCATTTCTCCTAATATATCCCCCAAAATGTTACATACTGGACCTTTAAAATGAATATACATTTAAACATAAATTAGTTTAAATTAGTTAGTTTATCATCTCACCTGTGCTGTATTGGTGATCAAGCCCTCTTTCAGTGCTGAAACCACACATGATGGTGCCGCTTGGACACTGGCACACACTTGCACTGGTGAGGGTGGCACAGGTGAGTTGGCATTTTTATTTAGTGTTTCTGCTGATGAAGATGTGACTTCACTGCTGCAGTCTTCACAATTTTTTGTGGAGTCCATGGTGACTAAAGATGTATGTTTTTCTCTTTTTAGCTCTCTAAATTTCACTCCAGATTCAGATGCAAATCCATTTTGGCATTGCTGATTTACAAGTGAGGGTATAGTAGAGCAGGTCCGATCGGGAGTGAGTCCACTAGAGTAGTGCTGAAATGCTGAAATAAATCCTGGTGTGACGCCAGTACTGTTATCCCGGGTCTTTACGTTGCTCCCTGGTGTGAATGCTGCAGTGTAGTCCTGCAGAGCAGTGTCACTGAGCAGCTGCTCAACCTGCTGTGTGAGTATGGAGTCCAAATTGCCTTGTCTGTGCATGGCCTTCATCATCTGAACCAACAAGTTGTTCCTCTCCTGACACTTGACCACCAGGCAAGACAGCTTGGCCTGTTATTCAATGAAACACTTGTCAGTCAAAGTCAACTGTTACTGACAAATGACAATAGTTAGCCGACACTCCTACAGGGTAAGGAACAAATAATGGAAGAATTTAAAGCTATATCTGTCTTTCCTCACCTTTAAAGGAGCTATATCCAGATCGTTCTGGCTCCTCTTTCTCAGGAGTGCATCATACTATAGTACAAAAAGACATGAAAATTACTTATCAGCTCATAACAA